TTTTTTTTTTTTTTACTTTTTTATTATTTCTTTATAATGAATATTATATGTTCATAATGCGAAAATAATTCCTAGACAGCTTTCATTATTTATGTTTACTTATGTTTCATTATTTATGTTTATTTATATTTATTTTTAGTCAGAATTTATAAGTATTGCTATTTAAAATAATGTTGTAAGTTTATTAAATATTATTAATAAAATCAAAATCAATAAATAATTTATTTAATTTATAAAAGATATTCCCATTAGTATGTTAAATTTAAAAGATTTCTATAATATGAAAAAAAAAAAGAAAATTGCATGATGCTATTTAAAAAATTTAAAGTGACATTAATTTTTAATAAAAAAAATATTTTTTCAATTTTTTTATTGCAAATTGTAGCTTGTTTGAAACAAATAAATATTCTCTTTTTAATTTCCTTTTTAAAACTGTTTAAAGCTTCTTACAAGCATCCCAAAAGTTATACAGACTGTTATACTGAATACTCTCTATAATACATTTACTTTCTATTTTTTTCTCATTCAATATAGAGTTATATAGCAAATGTGTTATAGTGAAATAATATAAGAAAAAAATTTAATTTTGCAAAAGGAACTGTTTAAAAATAAAAATCAAACTAATGTTATATAAATATTCTATTATATTTGTTATTATAATCATTTTAGGATATCAAATATTTATACCGAGCTTGCAAGTTTGCCGAATGGTGTTTTCATTATGGATCACATCAAAATCAATCTCCTGATAGACCGTTTTCTTTGTTTGAAGGTAAATTAATCAATAATATGAAAAATATGTCACTAATATTTTACGCAATGCAATACATGTTTATCATTTATGCTTTTAGGTCTTGCTGGGGTTATTTATTTTTTATTGGATGTACAACAACCACATTTGGCTAAATTTCCAGCATATGATATTTAAATCAAAATATAATGCTTAAAAGTTGCTAATTTTTTATATTCTTTAAATGTATTATTTTTAAATTTAAGTATATAAGTTAAATATTTATTTAAAATGATATCGTTAATTAGATAAATTATATCATTAATGATCATCTCTATGACGAAATGTTATGTATAAAAATATATAAAAATTTCCCCAATAACCAAATCTACAGAAATAAATTTTGAATAGAGTATCAATTTCTAAGAGCAAATTTTAAACAGATAATAGTCGGATGATGTTGGCAAATTACTGCCAAAAATGCGACAAAGTTTACCAATATGCTATGTCAACATATATGCAAAGTCTATTGACATGACCTATCGGCAGAAAATGAGCAGAAAACTTGTGCAATAATTTGAAATCAGATTCGGCATAAATCGAGTAATGCAATC